CTAGGATTAGTCGTGGTCAGCACTCCGTATCGCTTGAAATCGCCAGCCAAGCGATACAGGCGGGTATCTTTGAAGCCACTGTCGTCGCCACGCTCTTAATTCAGTGTGGGCGATATATCGATTGATACAGCAGCTACTTAAATTGATAGAGCTTCTCAGTACTATTTCACAAACATTGTAGCCATTCGTATTTATTCTTCACTGTAGCCATAGCTCTTTTTCGCTTTGAGTTGTATTCATCATATATCACGTACATTTGTCTAAAGTCTAGATTTGATTCATGGACGATATATATTTCCATAGATCGAACCCTCCTTTTGTAGCGATCAGATATCAATTTTTTAGAATTTAGATGCATATATTTCTTCGAGTACATTCGCCCAGCATTATTATGCATAGAATTAATTGCTCTTCAACTCGGTTATATCATTTATCTAAGTATTGTAAAGGTGTGTTATGCATGATATCCCCACATCAGAGTCTGAGAATCTGAGAGCGACGACGTCCCATACGAATGCAAAATCAGGGGCCAGCACAATTCTGCCACACACATCGAACCTCGAACGTTCCAGCTAACTATCGACCATTCCATTCCGTTTAACAATCTACTTTGCAGTATCCCTGTACAGGTACCGATCCTCACCCCACCAAAAACGTCCAATCCCCACCTCGACACCCTGTCATCTCCAACATTCAATCAATTACCGAAGTTCAATTCCTCCCAAACTAACATACTCATTATCTGGCCCATGACTCCCCATAACCCAAAGCTCAATGTTCCGAACATTGTAAGTACCCAGATCGACCGGTAGCGGGGTTTGAATAGGAGCTCGCTGCTGTACCCTGGAATTGGATGGTGGATGAGAGACGGAGTCGATCTCAAGAAGCTTCACATTTTCGGTGACCGAAGGTATCAACTTCTCAGAGGCAGAGATGGATTTCGAGAAATTTGTGTGCGATAAAGAGATAGGCACACCAGCAGGTGGGCCTCCAGAATAACGATCACCACCGATCACTTGACAGGCATTTGATTCCAGGATACTTGTGTAGGAAAAGGGTAATCTTGAGTGTGGTCGACGATTAGTCGTATTCAGGATCGTGCAATGGAGCTTTGAAATGTTTGTTTAGCAAGTCAGGTGATAGATGGGGAAAACATACTGTCAATGGTCTATTATCAACGATATATCCTTGCTCCTTGAATTTTTGATGAATAAATTCTAATTTCAAACATGAGTACTTTATTATGTCTTACGTAAAGTAAATGATATAACTTACCGCATACTTGTAGAAGTCTTTCCTTCTCTTCTTTTATAAAATCAGATCTTGCGTCGTTTCCGTACTTGTATGAGTCTGTCGGACCAGATCTCTCTGCTTTCTCTACCTTCTTAAACATAGGTGCGAGATAAAGCACTCCCGCATCGACTCTCTCTTCTTTAGTGCTCGTCTTAAGTGCATCAAGTCTATCCAAAGTGACGTCAACGCCTACTCTCCCGTCTAACATTGACGATAATTTAGGTCCGAGTGATTTAAGAAACGAGAGTACAGCTTGAACTGTCCTCTTAGATTCCGGAGGACTGCTGTAGTAGCTTGAGTGTGCTGTGGGTAAAGCAGGTTCATATCCTGGACCCCTTGACGCTGGGGTGAGGCTAGCAGTAGAATTTGTGCCAGAAGTGGATGCAGCGACTCTTGAGTGTGAGCCGGAGGCTTTTGGATTTATAATCTCAGTGTCTTCCTCGAGATACATAACGCCTAGAGTCATATGTAATCGTCGTGGGTCTTGGAAAAGTGTCCTATCTAGACCAGGGATAGGTGTATCTTGCTGCAAGAGCGCGTTTTGAAACGCGGAAATTTTGGATCGTAGCACAGGATGGTTGTGCTAATTATTATACACAATCAGTAGAGATTGCGAGTGTATAACGAACAGATACGCGCCAGTGGAAGTGATAGGACTAGTTTTGAAGAGGATTGTCAGTTTAGCCAAAGAATATAAAATTAATGATGCGTACAATGCGTAGGACGAGGGCTTCTTCTGCCTCTTTCCTTTTCATTACCGCTGTTACCTCTTCCACCTGACCTGAAGCCGCGACCTCCTCGACCTCGACCCCTTTCCCACTGTCCTCTTTGAACTTCAGTGGTGCTATCCGCGCCATTTTTACTCTCCCATTCCCCCCCACGCCCTCTAGGTCCACTTCCTCGCCACTCACCATGGTCCACCTCCTCTCCTCGTCCTTGATTTACACCATGAATACCTCTACTTTCAGACTGTGGGGCAGGATTCCGACTACCTTGCTGAGCAAGTGAATTGAAGTTGTTGCTGGACATCGTGCTGAAATGTTTGAAGATTACGGTTATATGAAAGTGTATCCTCTTGAATCTTTGAGTTTTTGAAAATGCAGTAGATGGAAATATCATTACACGGACTCAGTGATAGTTGCAGTCACGGAGCGTCAAGCTGAGTGGATGTCACGGTTCCCGAGTTCACTGACGTTATCACTCATCCGGGCCGGACTTCCGGTGATAAAAGCTCGTCATTTTCTGATATCGATGGCACACGGTACTTACGATCGCCTAGTAAACGATCAGCCCCTTGAATGGCTCGGGTATTTCCGAATACAACGAGGACGGTACGTTAACAATCTGTATTAACTTGTCTTGTCTCTTTTCTTTGGTTGCATTAATGTTATGCTTCCTCCATTGCTGATATTTCTCGAGAACGTCTTTTTAGCATCTCTGTTCCAATTTTGAGTACAACGTGCAAAGTAGCGCCCATCCGTTGCGCCTTCAATGGATTAAATCCGAAGATTAAAGCTATTTGCTTCCAGATAGGCGATACGAATCGCATGATATTGCCAATCAATGTATTCCAATTATTTCATCATAATTTAATTTAATCTTATATTTATCGGAGGGGTTCTTTTTCATAACATCCTTAACCTATAGAGCTATTTTCTAAACTCCTGGGTGCATAACGATACATACAAAAATTAGGGGATCGAAAATATCATACGAACACCTGAATCAAATTTACTTTCTCAGTTACTCTGTTCTCAGTAAGCCACTGCCTCCCCCTCCTCACCACTCTAGTGTCCTCCCATTTCTCAACTGAAATCGGTGTTTTCTGGTAGCATTCAACAATACCTAATACTCCAAAGGCATTCGTCATTAACATATTGTTAACAATGGCAGGATGCAGGGTTAACTTATATCCCAGTTTCTCTGCGGATGTTTTTGCAATATTTAACGTATTAAATACTTGTCTAGTAGAATGACTATCTGAAAGCTGCTTGAGCCAGATAGTCCCTACGATATTATCAATTTGGTTGAGCTCGAATTTAAACCCCATGACTTGGAAACTGCCTGTGCACTCCGAATTCCATTTCTCATGGTATATTCGCAAGCTATCCACCTCTAGGACGCCGTGCTCCTTTAACCATCTACGAGCGCGTACAACAGGGCCAGGTCTACCTAAAACGTACGGGACGAAGCATAGCGGCGTGGTGGAATGGCTTTCTTGTAGAAAGAAGATTGTGCGATGACCACCGGACGACATAGGAAGTTGTTTGATAACAACTTGAGATTGAGCGGCATTGGCTTCGGTGATGCTAAATGCAGCAGTGGTATCGGTTATAGATTTGTTCAGGATATCGGAAGCGATACGGTAGAGCTGCTCGTCGGTGAGAATGAAGCCAACAACTTGGTGCATTTCTTTGATAGATCCCATCGTTAATGGAGGAGGGTTTTAAGTAAAGAGGCGCTAGGTGACTTTCCGGGTTGAGTGGATTGAAGATCGTGGGCGTGTATTGAAATAGTAGGCGACGAAAAGGAAACGGCCGTTATATAGCTCGAGCGCTCCTGTGGCCAGACTTTTAGACGCGAGAGATAATATAAGGTTTGAATGGATGAGTATTTTTCAAAGTTATAGAACCAGCATGTGCCACTCTCAACAATGATGGCAGCGGTGGCCTTGTGGATGGTTGGCATTATCTACTTACTATGCTTACTAAAGTAACCTCAATAGTGTTTTGGGCAAATAATTTTTGACAGGAGATTGATTTAAAACGGTCTCTGAGAGTTAAATGGAACACTAGACCTATTATCGCCCCATAGAATATTAAAACTGAGCATCATCTCCTTGAAGAACAATACCAGGTTTCTTTTTCAGATACAGGCACAGTAATTGGATAGCTTCATATTTTTGATACAATGTAATTATTAATGATGCAAATACAACACTTTCTTAGTATTGATTGAAGATTCTTATGAAGCGTATGAGCTCATAGAATGTCTCACAGAATGTCATTTTGGACGATTTTGGGCTGTGAGAACCGCGTCAGGCTTCGAAATACGACATTTGTGAGGCATGCAGCAACTCTCCGAAAGAGAATGAATACATGGTTCGATAATAAAATATAATAATTACATATCACAATCCAAGTTTCAAGAGAAATCCGATTCCATTTCACTCTTAGAACAATTGTAAAAAGTTTCCCTGTTAAAATATATTTGCGCCAAACCCATCAAAGATACTTTTGGTAAGCACAAGTACAGCCTTGTCATCAAATATAATAACAAAGCGTTAATATCCAGCCGCTTCTGCCTTCAATCTTTCAGATAGGAAACACCGTGCACATCAAGCATGAATATCAAGCATTTTCATAGAAGTCAGTCCATCCAGTCCCAGGAAGCTCCCCTACAGATCTCTATGAAAGTCAGCTCAAAACCCTGCCTCAAATGTGTAAGCTTGGGTAGCATTGATGATAGAATAAGTAGGAAGAAACCTGCAGGCATACCTATAACCCTTCACAATCTGCCAGAATACATATCATACATATCATTTGCTTACCTTAGGTTTTGTATAGTCATGCATTTACAAATGAGTACCAGTGTGACTAAACAGCTGGCAGACATACATAAAGTTATGAACTGCGCCAATGTATGCTGCAGTGTGCTGACCCCTCAGGTTCAGGCTTAAAAAGCCTATGAGTCTCTGACTTCACAGACGACGCCAGCAGGATTTGAACCTGCGCCCTCAAAGAGGAACAGATAATACGGGTTGTTCGAATCTGTCGCCGTAACCACTTGGCTATAGCGCCTTATTTAAGGTACCAGTAATGGAATTACTTTTCAGCTTTACACGCAGGTAAAGATTACTTCGTGATGGTATCCTCTGAAAAGGTGTAAACAACATTGAACCATTAAATAAATGTAGTAGGTAGTGTATCATATAACCATGAGTTAAGGATAAAGATAAAGATAATAAGATAGAAGCCCACGCATTAGATCCCGTATACTTTTTTAATCTTGTCAGACGTCATCTCAGCTATCCCGTAAATGGCAGCCTGAGGGTGAGCAGATGGTAAAAAGGGCTAGAGAAAAAGAAAGGTATATCAGGATCGGTAAATACTTGAATATAAGAGTAGGTTCTTACGAATACAGAGCCATCGACAATACGAACGCCGTTCAAGTTCTTTACAAGCAGATTTGCATCGACGACTCCTTTGCCTGAGGCTCCATTAGCAGGGGCAGTGCACATGGGATGCTTGATTGACTGCGTCCATTTCCTGATGTAGGTGATGATATCCGCATCAGTAGCATTGTCGGCGAAGAGAGCAGCTGAATCAACGAAAGGACCTAGGACAAATCCTGACCAGGCCTGCGCTTTGATGAATCTTAGTGCCGACCTAATTGCATATACCATGACTCCCAAATCCCAGTCAGTAGAGAGAAAGTTAGGGTCAATGATGGGGTTGGCGAAAGGATCGGATGAATTCAGGGTGACAGATCCCCCTAGAAATTTTGTGATTAGAGGTAAATATATCTCTTGAATAAAAAGCAGAACATACGCGACGTTGGTGAATTTAGGACTTGAATATTCGAGACATACCGACCAGATGCTGGGGGCGTCTGGCTGACACTAGCAAACTCATCCTGCCACGCGAGCTCGAAATGTGCACTTGTGGGTCCACCTGACGGATCACCATTCTTCAATAATGATGAATTACTAGGAACTCGGAAGAATCCTATATGATTGCCTCCAGTAGATGACAAAACACCGGTTCTGTTTGCTGTCCATTGTGCTAGAGCAACGTTGAGTGCATTGGGATCGGTTCCGAGTGTAATTGGGTCAATAGTGTTCGCATCATCAGGTACCACATATTGCAGTCCGACAATAGGATGATCTTGCAAATTCTGTCCAACCTCGGGAAGCGATACAATTGGTTTAATGCCGACTTTGACCAAGCTAGGTCCATTTCCAATTCCCGATAACATTAGTATCTGCGGTGAGCCGATAGCCCCTGCAGATAAAACAATTTCCTTTCGAGCTTGGAACGTTACTCTTGTTGAGGAACCAAGTTGGCCCACTTCGACGTTACGGAACTGAGGTAAGCCATTTGCGGTGCCGGTTTGGACGAGCTTGGTGGCACGAGTATGGATGAGAACATCTAAATTCTTGCGAGCATTAAGAGCTGGCATGAGGTATGCCGTCGCAGAGCTTGAACGAATACCACCTCCCGCAGCAGATGGAAGCCAACCTACATTATGTGATACATTAACTAGGTGTTGAATGAAGATAATAGCAAGTCACGTACCGACTCCCAAGGGATTTCCGGAGTTGACATCGAGATTGAAAGGGAATTCAGCAGATAATTGCTGAGTGGTCTGCAGTACCCGCGAATCGATGATTGATACGTTTCCGGAAGTGCTGACAAGAACAGGGCCAGTAGTTCCGTGGACCGTAGGATTATATTCCTGTGTATCGTTGCGGCCGTCCACTGGATGTACCCATTTCTCACTCTAATTCCTAGAACATTAGTTTTGATCTATAATGTGAATATTATGTATACCTTCTTGAAGTATGGAAATAGATTATTCCATGTGTACGATGTGTCCCCAACAACCTTAGCAAATCGATCAAAATCATCACGAGAACCACGAGTCCATGTTATGAAATCTATTTTTCTAGGTTAACGATCATTGTTTAATGACTAGATTAGAAACTTACTCGTTGAGCTACTTCCTCCGAGGACATATCCACGCGAATACGGAAGTATTTGGTTATTCAAAGCCTTCTGTGGGACAGTCGTATAGTTCCAGTCAAAAGGTGAGTTCACCGAAGCCAAAGGTGCAAAGAGTGGGATCATCAAGTTCTCAGCCTTGAATCCCGTGTTTCTAGAGGCCGAATTGAATTTTCAGATGAGATTAAGAACGATCAGCTATAAACACTTACGATACCCCAGCCTCTACAACAAGGACACTAACAGAAGGGTTTTCGCTGAGTCGCGCAGCAATGACATTTCCCGCCGTGCCAGCTATATATAAATATACGTCAGCCGCAATGTAAAGACATAATAGATTTCTCTCGTACCTCCAACGACGATAAAATCGTAGGTGGTGTTCTTGATTTGGCTAGGGTCTGTGAAGAGCGCCCCGAAGGTGCTTCCAACGAGAGCACATATCAACGTGGTATGTAAGAGACGTGTCATCCTTGAAGAGGAGGAAGTATTAGTGTTTAATGCTGCCTCATAAGTCCATGCTCTGCGGTCCTCTTATACAAAAAATGAGAATGTACCGATGCAGTTGAAACATTCGGCTAAAACACCGTTGCGAATTTCTTACCGGGTATGTATTACTCGCGCGGAGAGGGTCACTGTCTGTTACGAAGACCCTGGTTCAACGCGCGCCTTATTACCAAAGATAGAAATGGTATGCACACGGCGTCCAAACGACCAGGCTGACCAAGGTTGTTCTAAATATACATTGATGAGCAGTGAGCAAGCAGCTATAGTCTAAATGTTACTTACAGGATTCATAACCAAAATTCATCGTAAAACAGTTGACTAGTAAAAGAACGGACACTCTGATAGATTATCTTCGACATATGTCTAGTTCATCGTTGATTTATGGCCTTAAATGTCATATTTAGCGTTTCGTTAGATTTCCTTGACTATACAACGGTACTTGTAAGTATGTAGAAGTGAAGAAAATTCCTTAACGATATAGGCGCAGTACCTCTCTCCGATATCCTACTCGGAGCTGTCGAAAAACACAGCAAATAATGCGCTTCAGTGTTACAGAATGTAAAAGGGCCGGGAAATGATATCCAGATTGCGACTGCAGGACCAGGGTATATGCACTAAAACGAGTCGACCCACCTGTCTACATATTGATATTCTCTTAATATATCACAACCGCCCAGAAATGCGCTTTTTACGATCAATGAGCGTCGTCGTACACCGTACACGACGGGATAGGGCTATAAGCGTATCATCGCCGACTGCGGTTGATGCCGCTGTATGAAAGTAATTAATTGCCAACTGCTTTGGTTAAAGTCCCGTTACTCGATTCTACAAATTCAGAAGGCTCTCTAGGAGGACATATTGGCGTTGTTTTAGAAATTATAGTGCAATGTCTGCTTAAAATTGAAAATTTGAGTACACGGATAGCACCCTCACGGCTTTTAGTCCAGCAAGAACAGAGTATTACTTATTGTAATAGCCCGACGTCGACTTTCCGCGTTTGAAGGAGTTCAAATCTATTAATAGGACAATTCTGTTAATTATCCGTGGATGGCCGAGCCTCGAGATAGAGCCACTGAGCCTAAACACGATGAAAAGTCAAGAAAGGAGCGCAGGTAAGACGAGCGCCATTAGTGAGACGTTAGAGTTTGACTAAGGCCCCTGAATGGGAGTGAGAACCGATTTGGCGTTAACTCGCACGCACCATTCCCGATTTGACGCGGTCAAAATATTCAAACTCTGATCTCATACTTCTTCCTCATTTCAAACACCAGCTACTTACTCATACCACAAAGGCTTCGTTATAGGCTATTATTTGATTTAAACTCAAGGAGTTTATGTTGGGTGTATTATGATGAAGATTGGATGTTAGCGATAGTGGAACGCAGACTCCGAGCCGCTTTCCTGGAGGTCTCTCCGGAAAACAGCGCATCTGAGAGCATCAAACGATGGTTTTCCTGTCCAAAAACTACGTATCTGAGAGATTGAGATGAAAATTTTCAAGATTCCCCATCTGTGTATTGTGTATTTGAGTGTTGGAATATAAGATCGTAATTCAAACGATTAATTCGGATTCTTAATTTGTATTAATTTAGTTGCCATTAAAGCTATGCCTGCCTATGCCATAAGTATGTATCTTATGCTGCGGACCTGTTTCAAAGTAAATAAGTAGCGCTCGAATTATGTATATAAACATGTAGTAAACTAGGAAAACATTGCACGTGTAAAACGCGGTTTCCTGATATTCGAGATTGATTAGGTCACTTCAACATTGAAGGCACCTTAGGCGAAGGTGGATTGGAAAATGATCCAGTCTGGCTCAGCATTATTTTTGTGTGATGGCGGCTAATTTCAAATACCTAATATATATGATATGAAGGGTTATGAGTATACCAGCAGGTATCAGCTACAAGGCGCTATAGCCAAGTGGTTACGGCGACAGATTAGAAATCTGTTCCTCTTTGAGGGCGCAGGTTCAAATCCTGCTGGCGTCGTCTTATCTTTTGCACGTCGTTTATCCGCGAAGGATAAGTTGATAATTTATCACTGACCCCTACAGCCCCACATATTCACGTTCTGTCAAAACCTGTTATTTGATGTATGCCAATGTTTCTCCCGTGCCTGACTTAATCGAACATCTCGGAAACCTCCGAACTTGCCTTACCTAGCAGCATGTAGATATTATCAAGCAATATAAATATATTGGGTTTTAGAACCCAGTTTTTGATCCTCAAGATTGTTTAGCGGTTTCAAAAATTACTGTTGAAGTTAGTATGACGGAGAAAGAGGCGAAAATATTGCTAAATACTCGTACGTATATATGGTGCAGGGTTCATCTTTGACGTTTATGTTCGGACATGAATCTTTAGTTCTGAAAAGGAGTATGAAAGAATTAATATGCGTGTAGTTAAAATGAAAAATCGCATCCTAGATCCCCACGTGCGCATGAATCATCGTCGGCAGGATCAACTTTTCACTGCCAGAGAGTTGAACAAACTGTCGTATTTAGTTTTAATTTCTAAGGCAATCTGACCTAGCTGCGCATTGTAGAGAAGAAATCTTACGACCTAGAAGAT